AAACTTGCTTTTGTTTCCCTGTGACATTCTGCTTTCTCTTTTTTTCATTCCAAACAATTTTAAAAATAAGGTTATATTAGACCACACACATCCAGTGTTGTATCATGTCGCTGCTTCTTAAGCAGAACTCTCTAATTTATTTCAAAGGGAAGTTCTGCTTCAAAATTGAGGGTGTGATATGAACTCAGAAATTAACACAAGAATTTTCCTTGGGGGAAACCAAGACTGAATCAGACATGCAATAAATGACCTCGTAAGCCCTGTGCCTTGGTAAAGCCACATATCCAAAACTGTGCTTTAACATAAAACAGTATTTTCAATATTACCTTATTTCAAGCTAGGTAGAACAGCGGAAAGAAGTGGATTTGCTTTGGTCAGGAGGGAACAAATTACTCATCTGTCTGTCTGCCAGGAGGTCCATCAGCAGCACCACTCTCCCAACGCTGTGTGCCGGGAATGTAACAATTCATGGGGACAGGGAACCCTCCTGGAGAGGTCCCGCAGTGCGAGCCCTGCTGCCAGGGAACCTGGCTGGGACGGTGCTCTCCTGCAGCAGCAGGCACTGCTGGGAACACACAGAGCTACTGTTGGCTTCCAGCTGCCTTCCCCCCTCCCTCCACACACAACATCTGGAGAGGGACGCAGCAGCCCTCTCGCAGCAACAAATCCCCATTGCACGGTGACTCCGGGGAGTTCTCCCACTGGTTTCAACAAGATCAGAACCCAACACAGGAAAAAGCAATACTAAACTATTGCCCTGACAGTGCAAGTCAGGACAGAGAGGCAGAGAAACAGCTGAGCTGCAGATTTCCTTCCGCCAGCTGCTGTGGGGGCCAGAGTCTCCTCTGCAGAGGGACGGAGCGGCCTTGGGGAAGGGGATGCAGCAGAGGCAGCCACATCCTGGGCCTCAGCTGCTGCTGCTGCTTCAGCTTCTGTCCAGTGAACAACAGCCCTAGACTGTAGCTCCATGCTTTTTTGACCTCGTGTTAGACATTTGGGCCCTGTGGCCCCAGGCCAGCAGTAACTGCACTTTCATCTTTCCGTGCCCAAGGGGACATTTCATACCCTCTGAACAAGCTCAAGGAGCTCAGCAGACCACAGGGACCAGGCTCTGAAAAGCCACATTATTGCGAGTCCTGCTGTCTTATCTGGGGACTTCAGCAGTGCAGGGCTTGGGGAGTACCCCCACTCTTCTGCTCCCATGTAAGCTCTGGTTTGACAGCTTAGTAATTAAGAAAATGAGGTAGTGTCTGTTTTCCAAAGAAAAAGAGGCTCTTGAACTTCTGTTTCTCACACAGACAGAAAGTCCAGTGCCTCAGCTTTACATGCAGAACATTTTAATCCTGCCTTTATACTCCTCACACACTCACCAAACACATCTGAAGTACACAGAGCTCCCCTCAAATCTCTCACATCAATGGGAGCAGGGAGACCTTTTGCCCTATATACAGGGCAGCATGGCTCATTCCCCTATTTTATAAACCTATTTACAAAAAGAACTTAAAGGAACTTACAAGAGCTCCTTTTACCATTTAACTACCACATAGTACAAGATATAACAATGTTCAGAAAACCCCCTCAGGTCTAAACTCAATTATACAACTGTAGCAAGAAAAATATTTTAATCTGATCAAAGTGTTAACATGTTTGACCATGTCTGACCTCTAATGTTTGTAACCACCTAAAAGGCTGCTGTTCTTACTAAGGATGTACCTTAATTTGATTTAAAGTCATTTGTACTATTTAAAAAAGGATATAGTTTTATGATTTTATATTTAATTTAGAAAAACAGTTCCTCAACTTGTTCATATTCTTGGGAAGTTTCTTGCAGATTTTTAACCCGTAAGTCCTATATATTTCACTCTGGGAAAAGCTGGACCTTGCATAAGATAGGATAAAGTGGAGCCTTGAACGACCACACACACAACACCTGAGAGCCAAGTGAGAGATGGCGCTCCTGGGGCCCTGCGGAGTGTCATGATTTCAGATGCACACACAGGCTACGCCAAGATGCTCTTAAACACCCTTGACTGAGTGTGCCCTCCCCAGCCTGGCAGCTGATGGCAGTCACAGCTCCCAGAACAAGGGACAGCTGGGCTCTGCCCTCTGCGCTGTCCTCAGCTCCAGCAGCGCCTTCACCCTGCCCACGCCCCCAGCGACAGCTCTACTGCCAGTCCAGGAAAACTCTGCCTGCCCAAACCAGCAGCACTCCAGCTGAATCATCCCACACTGGCATTTGCCACCTTCAGCCAAGGAGGGCCACCCTGCTGCGGGCAGCTCCTGCCACCCCCTCTGCTGCTGGCCCTCCAGGGAGCATCAGCCAGGCTGATGGCAGCTACCCAGCCATCTTCAGAGCATGTAAATAACATGGCTGGCTGTGTTTGGGTAAAAAGAGGCAATTTTGGCTGGGAGATGTGGGGACCTGAGCAGGATGCTCGGGTGAGCAGCATAACAGTTAGTGGCTACAAACACCTTGAGGGAAACAAAGCAAAAGTGGTGCTGCTGACAAAACCAGAAAGAAAATAGGAGAGCAGCACCCCAGTATTGCTGGTAGCAACACACCCAGCCAGGCAGGTGCTGGAGCCAGTCCAGAGCCACTCGCAGCTCCCTCACAGGGTTCGTGGGGAGCCCACCGAAAAAAATGTGGTTTACAGAGCGTTGCAGGGCAGGGGCTCAGCCCAGCCTTGATGCTGGCTGCTCTGTATATTTCAGGGAGTTATACTCTGTTTTCAATCAGGTAAATTACTGTTTTCAGTGTAAAGCCCTGACAGTTTGCCAAAGTACTCCTGGTTTAATTTTTTAATTGATTTTTTTTTTAAGATTCTAAAATTAATCCTACTTGCAAACAACTGTTTCCAGGAAGCCTCATTAACCAAAATACAATCTCCACTATCAAGTGCACGCATGATTGTGATACCTAATCCTATTCACTCACACAACCTTCCTCCCTGACTCTACTTGTGCTAAAGTGTTAATTAAACACACTTTTATGGATGGTTAAGTATCTGCAATCTTCGGTCACAGATCTGACCTCCCCGATTATTGGAAGCAGCCACCAGATTATAGCCCACACTTTATATAAGTACACAGCAGCAATAAATCTATATGACAGCAATCCATAATTTACCATGATAATCTTTGCACAGTCAATAGAAATATAAGACAAAATTGCCCAGAATAATATATTGAAATAGTTATTGTAATAAGTTGAAAAAAACCGCAAGACCAGCCTGCTTCATGAGGAAGAAATCTTCCCCTGTCTGCCAGGTTTTTAACTGAAAACATCAAATCAGCTCTTCATAAACCACAGCAGGATCCAAACAGGCCTAAAGAAAGCTGTTCGAGGCACTGGATGATTTTGATGGCCCTCAAGGGGATGGGATCATTCCTTCTCTGCTACTTGTATCTTCTCCCCTTTGAGTTCTGCACATTTCATTTGCTCCTGTCTGCTGCCCTGACAGTAACTGCTTGGATTTTATTCTGTTATCAAGGGAAAAGGTGATTCTTAAACCACAATCTACTTTATAGCCTAGATGCTGATAAATAGGCTATTGCACTTTGCTGCCCATCTAGGAAGAGTTTAAGATTAAAATAAATATTCCACCATAGCAAAAAGATGCTGGACTAACGTAACTCTGGACTTACCTAAACTCTAGCTCAGGGAGCAAATTAAGTGTGTTTACATGAGACAAATTTAAAAACATTCAAAGTTTATCAGGAAGAGAACAGCTTAATATTTTGGGGAATGAGGGGGATACATGGTACCTGGATAAGGTGGGAAGCACCAGAAGAAATGCTTATTTGGGTTACAACAACGTAAGTGTGTCCTGCCCTTCAAACACATCTTTTCTTGCTGTAAACTGAAGGAAGACTTAAAACTTTAGAGATAGATCCCTGATCTGTGCAAACTTCAGCAAAGTTTCAGCAGTCTGCAGCCAGGAAAACTGAATCTCCTAGGAAAAGCTGTGTGGGGTACAGGCAGGCTCATGCAGGGACCTGTCTCCTGCTACCCAGGCCAGCTGGGTCAGGTGTGAGGGTATGGCACTGACTGCCATAAATAATTTTAAGTTTCATACTCCACAATCCATCCATTTTTCATAACACCAGTTTGACATCCTACCCCTCTTGTGAACAAATGACCGGAATTAAGGACAGGTTTACATATTCTTTTAAGCTTTATCCCTTTAAAGGTTAAAACTTGAACCTGAAATAAACCAAATTACGTTCTGTCCTCACTTGCTGCTGGCTACTGCAGAACAATGTCTGAAACAAACAGGCAGCAGTGCCGGCTCGCAGGAGTGACACCAGCATTGACTGTCTGCTGCAATGTCAGGACATTATTTTCTGAAGTTCTGACCAAGATGGTGACGGGAAAAGACAGCTTTTGTAAAGAAGACTTTAGTTTAATCACTCAGATGGCAAAACTTAGAAACATGAGAACACACAGAATTACTAAAGCTGATTTAAACTGAGAGGGAAAAACTTTCCAGGAGAAAGATGGGAATAGTCCTCCGGCAGCATGAAACCTTTTCCTAAAAACCTCCATTGCCATTTTAGAAGCACAAGATCCGTTTTCTGGGCCATTATCCACAACAGAGCCCTAACACACAAGCTCAGCTGTGGGACAAATCCCTGAAAACAAATACAAAGACCAGGAGCTGCTCCCTCCAAAGCCCCTGACCCAGAAAAAGGAAGGGACGCTCTTCAATGAGATATTAGGATTTGACTGCTGAAAGAATAAAGCCAAACCTAGAGGATGAGGAGACTGGAAAAGCAGCTCCTCCAGCAACTCAGAGCGAAGCAGGCGCTTCCTGCTGAGCATCTCTCCCCCTTCCCACTGCTTTTCCTTTTGGCTTGGACAGAACAGTGTCCAGCTATTTCAGAAACCGGGCTCCAATTTGTCAGGAAAAAGCAGGTGTAGGTGCCTGCACAATACCTGCAACATACTTCAGCACTGAAACAGGCCAAAAGACTTCTCCATACGGAGAGGAGAAACTCACCAGCGGTGACATAGATCCATTGGGCAGATACGGATCTGAGAGCATCAGGAAAGGGTAACCAGAATAGGCAGATCCTTTATACATCCCTGGGTCCTGATGTTTCATACCTGCTGAAATCAATGTTCCCTGTCAAAATTTGTCTTATGACAGGTGACTCCTCCGCCCTTCAGGGGTCCCCAAAGAAGTTACAGCATGCTGTGGGACTCTTTGTGTCCCATACTCCTCAGAGAAGGTGTTGGGGAGTGCCAGGGTCCCCCACGGGTGTGGACTCCCACAGCGGGGACGCTGGGAAGCCTCGGTGCTGTCAGGAGTAGCTTTCCCGCTGGGACTGTGGTGACCAGGCTAGCATCCCTCACTCCCAGGGCTGTCAGGGTGACGGGCTGGGGAACCGGGGGGGGTCAAGCACTAGAGGGGCGCACTGGGGAAGACCAGCAGGAACCGGGAACGGGGAGAGAGGGACACACAGAAACACGCGGAGGTTGCCGTGACTAACCATCATCCATGTGGTCCGGGAGCTTCTCCTGGTACACCCTCTGCGGATCCTGCACTCGCCGGAGGGCCTGCACGGGGAGGAGAGAGAGGGGCAGCGCGGGGGCGTGGGGCGGGGGCCGCGGCGGGG